GTGGCGGTACCTTCGTGGATGTCTCTCTGCTCACAGAAACCAGTGCCTCTCTGGAACTCGGGCCCCAGGCTAGCCCCGTTCACAAGCATATCCCCCGTAACGACACCAATCTTTTGTCTCTGGGCGATGGTGTTGAGAAGAGTCGTCTTGCCAGCGCCCGAGCTGCCCATCAGCGCAATCATCTTCCCAGGCTTGGCATATCCGCAGACGCCGTTCAAGAGTTGCCGTTCGCCGTTGCCGTAAGGGACTGTGTAGTTGATGTCCTTGAATGTGAAAACACTTTGGCCATCGCCGATGGGCTCAAATGCCTCGTCGGTCTCTTCCGCAGGCCTGCTCTTCTCGTTGTCCACGTTCTTGTCATCACGGGGTTTCGCGAAAATCAGGGACTGGGCACCAGATCCCTTGAAGCGAATCGTGTCAACAGCCAGAACGGTCATGGCGAGGAAGAAGACGGTGAAGGCGATCATGATGCCAAAGTTGCGCCATAGGTTCGCTCTCGAGCTACATCATGTCAGTGTGAACCCACGAGGTGAAACTGGCATGCGAATCTTACTATTGAAACGAAGCCTGTAGATAGTCAGGGCCGCTGACGACGGTGCTACCCATAGTTGAGCCAGGAAGACTGCAGCCTTGATAGTTGGGATCGGATCCGGGGCCGCGTGGCACGAGCTGAGACTCGCTGCATTGCATTTCTCGTCCAAAGAACTCGTTGGCTTGAAGTGCTTCGAAGCCGTAGGCTACAGGGTTGATGTAGTAGATCCAGCCGAACCAGATAGCGTCGCTGAGGAGATTTGGTTTGGGGATGACATATCCCGTCATGATGAACATGATGTTGAGAACTGATATTGTTAGTTAGAATGATCTTTAAGAGAGTTACTGAGATGGAAAAGCGGACTTACCGACGCCAACGAATCGGATAGAATCGTCAACGGTGGAAGACAGTGAGGCGAACATCCGGTACATGGATGTTAGACAAAAGGTAGCCGTGTACACGATGAGTGTGTAGATCCAGAATTTGGAGGCGTCAACGTCGAATTCCGCCAAGAAGTAGACTGGTATGGAGAACAAGAGCGTCATGATGAGGACCAGTGGGAAGTCCAAGAGCATCCTCGCAATGACTACAGCAGATGGCCTGTAAAAAGCAAACACTCGCTGCCTCTCGATCGTTGTTCTACCATCAATCGCAGGGACGAGTTCTGCAAACTGAAGCCATCCGATAAAGGCAATGGAGAAGAAAGCAACACCGCCTCTCGCAAAGACGGAAGACGTGTCCTGCCCGGAGCCGTAAAAAAGCGATGAGACGATGAGACTGTTGGCGATGATGATGGCGAGCTTCGTGTAAAAGGAGCTCCGGTCACCCCACAGAAGCCATGCCTGGCGCTTGGTGCAGGCAGCCACTTGCTTGAAAAACGAGACGGTGTAGATGGAATCGCCGATGACGGTCTTGCTCTTAGCATCCTTGACGGTGGCTGCGAACATGCGATGCTTGTCGTTGTTCGCTGATCTGCTGCCTCGTTCGTAGTCCTCAACATCTTGCAGGATGCGTTGGTAGTGTTCGCTCTCCAAGAATGTCCGTTCAAGGTCTTCCGGTGTCTTTGGAGCCGATTCTTCTCGGCCGGGTTGGAAATGACGGGCGTTCTTGTCGGCGATAGAAGTGAGAAAGTCGGCAGTAGTTCTGATGGGCAGGATTGTTAGCTTCTCAACCAATCGATAATAGGTCTACTATCACTCACTGTCTAGGAGGGCATAGGTATCCCAAGTCCTCAAAGTATTTCTTCGCCTCATCACCAGGCCCCTGGAAAAGCATGCGTCCGTCGTCTATGACAAGAACCTTATCCATTAATTCATAGATTGACTCTCCAGCTTGGTAGAGCGTCACGAGGGTCGTCCTCCCGCTAACATCGGTGTAGACGCGGAGCGACTTGGCGAAACTGAGAGCCGTGCTGGCATCGAGTCCTCGGGTAGAGTTGTCCCAGCAGACAACAGATGCTCGTGTGGCTAGTGTCTCAGCCAGACTCACACGCTTGCGCTCCCCTCCAGAAACACCTGAAAAGAGTCAGTCGGGGCTGGCTCAAGGTTGCCAAGGCCTGACCTGCTCACCTCGAATATGTTCGTCGCCAACCAGTGTGTTCTTAGTGTGATCTATTCCAAACATTTGAAGAAGCGAATCGAGAATCAGTGGGATCGTCCATTGCTCTCTTTTCCGTGTCTTTGTCTTCAGAGCGAACCACAAAGTCTGCCAGACCGTGAGCGATGGGAAATGCCGATCGTCCTCTTCGCAGTACACGACTTCGCCTCGGTATCGCTCCAGTTGATCTTCTGCCGGTATAACGCCATAATGTACTTCTCCATCGACCTTGGCGTATTCGTCCCGGTGGTTGGCGATGGCCTTCAGAAAAGTCGAACATCCGGAACCTGGTCGCCCTAGAACTAGCATGATCTCCCCGTGTCGCACCGTTCCTGTCATGTTCCTAATGAGATCGACAGTCGGCTCTTTGTGAATCTTTAGTTTGGGGAAGATGCCAGTGATGAAATGGTAAAAGTCCGGTCCAAATGTGTTGACTAGGTCTCGGGGAAACGTCGTCACTTGCTTCGTCGATGACTCGATGCCCTTGACCGTCAAATTCTTGAAAGAAACACCTAGTCTCTTTGCTGGCCCGCCGCTCGGTGTGCGTATGTCCATGATTCCCCTCCTGAGAAAGTCGGGCAGGTCGAATGTGTCATTGCCAGATAGACTAGGTGCGATTGTCGAGTCACTCTCTCCTCCGGCATCGCCATGGTGTTCTGAAGGCTTCCGTTGATATGCAGTAGAATGGCGGTGTTGAATCGTGCTCAACTCCTTCTCAAGATCGTGATACTCCTCCAGTGCGGCGTTTATTGAGATTTCGCCTGCCGCATTCTCGCCCCAGCGGCCGTCTTCCTCTGGTCTCGCGGCCCCCGCCATGGTGTTGCTGTCGAAATAGAAAATGAGAAAGACAGGGGTATCTCTATGAGTGCGAAAGTCTATTGGTCAAGTTGATGACGCTGGGAGTCGATCAGGTAGGTCGAGGTAGCTGGATAAGGAATTCTGGAAGAGATGGAAAATGCAAGTGATCAACAGCAGCAATAGCAAAAGGCTTGGACGTCAGGCTCAAGAAGCTTTGAGGTGAACAGCTGGCATACAAATAAGCGTATCGAATGCACCCTGTCTATTATGTCAAGTCTTTGAAGGCTAAGGTAGACTCCGCATGATGTAGCCCACCGGCCGGCAACGTTGCCATTAGCGTCCTCAACATGCCCTCCGCGGAGGAAAATTTGTAATCCGCGACGGTCCGCCAGCATTAGCAGCAAGGGGTTTGAATCAGAATAGGACATGCAGGGCTCACCCAAAGAGGGTTGTAACAATCCCTGTGGAGTAGTAAACCAAATCTCATCTGCTCCGTGGGAAACATTTATGACCAACGCCGAGGGTGAAAGAGTCGATGGCACCCTTATCTTGAGGGGTGAGGAAACCCCACGCATAGTTTGCCATGATGACATACAAGCCCAACATTAATTTCCAGCCAACGGGGACTTGCATGTGCTTTCGTTCCGGCAACTCATACAAGCGCCCATTATTAATCCCCAAAAGGCCAAGCTCACTTTTTTTTTCACCAGAGACGGAATCCAAATTCCTCTAGGAGTGGGGCCGGGTTTTCTTTCGACTTTCGCCGTGGCGTCTCTAGCGTGGTGGCGGATCCCGCACCCAGTATTACACAGCATGCTGTTTGTGCCGATGTTTGAAGCACGACATGGAGTTAGAAGGGATGGCGTTTTCCATGACTCGATTGACTCTCCAACTCGGCCATTGGCCGTTAGGATCTGTCTTGTTCTCTCTGTTATGACCGTTATTCCCTGGCTTTGGTATTGTCTCATTACAAAGGTAACTAACTCCCCGAGCGTCATTGCCGCTCCATGTTACAGTATGTGATGCAGATTGCTCTTTTTGCGCCAACATTCTTCGTAAGAGCTGATGACTAGATCTACTCTTGATACTGAAGTACTTGGAGAGGTCTCTGGTTTTATGAACAAACTCCGAACGAACAGACAGTTTTTAGCATTCGTTGCCGTCCAGACTAACAACTCGACACGATCCACTCAACTGCAGCTTGCTGACGCGCCCCACATGTTGCGGTCCAAGCTGATCGACGAGCCCAGCACAGGGCAGCTGGCAGGAAGTCTTACGCATATCTCGTATCTTATGAGGAGGCTCCAATGATAAATAGAGAATAAACGACTGGAGGCGCCTTGACAGGCGGTGTGAAGCAGAGTCTTGGATGTGCATACTGTCACTAATTCTCGTCTGCATCTGGAAATCTTACTAGATTCCCTCGATTGAGTTCAACGACCCCTCACTATCATTTCAGCCAGAGTTTTGGAGAATTCTGCCAATACTCCGCGCCTAGGTTGCCATTCTAGGATATGGCTTGTGAAAGCTCCGATTCAAAGTGAAGTCGAGATGCATCCGCCTTTTGATTGTCTTCCGGCTGACCAGCGACGCGTGCTATCAACGCATACATGCATGCAGGCAGGTAGCACAACAGAGGGCCGCTGTGACTCATTCAACTTTGGTTGCAGCAAAGGGTCCAAGGGAGGATCGCAGACAAGATTGGTGACAACACCGGGAACCCTGGTAACCTGGAGATAAGCGGAATGCGGTTAAGTTGCTAAAGTCCGGTGAGCCGGCCCCACTCTTCGGGGACAAGTCCGGAGCTGAACACGGCTGACGTTCGGCAGATCTCCGGGAAGCTGGAGGGAAGAATTTCTTCATATGCTAGGCTCTCTTCTTCTTCTGGGATAGCGTTACTGAGCAAAGTTTGAACTCCAGTGTAGTTGACGCCGAATTTCCTTTATCCAAGAATTTGAGAGATCTCATCAAACCAACCGTTCGTCCGCAAGTGGGCTTCATTGTTCATCTGAGTCAAATACCTGGTAGCTGCTCAATAGTCAAGGGATTGGTGTTTTAACGCCGTTATCAAAAGCTAATTACTTTCAAGGAAGGAATCTATTCCCAAGATATCTCCAACGTCTTCGGGGACTGAGAATTCCTTCTCAATGGGAACCAGGCCTAACGCCAACAGCTCATCATCACCGACATCAGGCCGCTCGTCCAAGACTCTTTTCAACTCCCGCGCTCTGGCCGTCACATCTTCGATGCCGATAATTCCTTCAGCAACCCAAGCTCCACAGATACCAGCAGAGATCCCAATTTGAATGCTCCGATACGGAAGCTTCTCCAATCGCACATTGCGTTCCGGATCCCACTGAACGCGCACCCGTACATCGCCCTTATCCATATCGCCGCCGTGTGTAAGGACACTATGGCGAAGGAGGTCAATGAAACCGGCGTGGGTCATTTTGATCGCCAAGATGCGCTCCTGGCCGCGATCTTTGTATGAATAACCTGCGCGGTACAGCATCCATGCCCAGCTTGGTTTGATCCAGGTCATGCGGGTAAGTTTGAAGTTCGGGGATGCGTCGAGTTTCTGAGCAGTGACAGCTGCCTCTGCGATGGCGGCGTTGTATGCTTGGTAGATAGTGATGGTCTCATCGTCGAAGTGGGCCCTAATCTGTCTGAAGGGCGTTGTCTCCGAAGCTTGGCCTCTGCTTGGTTGATGAGTGGTTGGAGCCATCTTCAACTCACTTGATGATGACAGATGTGTTGCATATGGATGATGAGGGAGCAATCCAGAGCCAACACCGGTTGAGATGTCGACGGAGAGACAGCAGCTTTTCTGGTCTTCAGCCCAAGTAACAGGTTCACCGCCACGACGCCACAACGCAGCTAGTGAGTCACGCCGATCCAAGAAGCATCAATCTCGTCAGCGGCCACGTTTCTCGAAATCGAACTCAGCAGGGTGAGCGCGACGAACAACTTGAGCACTTCATCTGTAGGAGTCTATGCTCTGCTGCACGCGCTCGCCAACGCTCTCATCAGATGGCATCGAGTTTAAGGTCCGATTAGCATACTTCTTATTCTTCGCAGGGTCCACCTCTTCAACAAAGATCCGAGTGACAGTCTCCATCTGAATGCCCTTCAGGCCAGACACATCCCGGTCGTGCAACGACGTCTGGCTCTCGCTACGGTCGTGGCTGGCCTCTGAGCCAAGCCTGGCGCGGCGCGAGGGTCTGCGAAATACGCTTGGTTTCCTGTTATGCGAGTCGTCTTTCGAAGCGCCACCCTCAATCCAGACCCTGTGGCCGTACTGTTGGCCCAGGGGCGTGAAGTTGAACGTGTCTAGGCCGACGTTTTGCTCGTCGACGGGCGCGTCAAAGAGAATGCCGCTACGCGTGCTCGAGAAGATGAGGACGTCGATCCATCCGTTGGAGGTGATCATGCAGCCGGCGAAGATGAGGTACTCTGCCGAGAGCTTGATGCCCCCGCTGCTGAGGATACGTCCCAGGGCCAGCGGCGCTGTGCATAGGAGGAAGACAATGGGGTAGAAGAGGAAGAGGATGCGCTTGTGGACCTCTGTCTTTTGGTTGTGCTGCGACATGACGTTCGGTAAGGTCGTGGGACTCAGTACGCCGTCGCATGAGGCTTCTTCGGCAGCAGCGGCTGCCTTTCTGGCGCTTCGGAATGCCTTGTCTGCCCGGTGAACGTGGATGAAGACCAAGACATACGATACGGTTCCCGTAATGATCAGAGTGAGCATCCAGGCATAGTGCAAGTACATCCGCATAGCCTCATATTCTGAGTTGATCCAACACTGTGAAGATTGAAGTAAGCATATGATTTACGACAAGCTCGAGCCGGAGAGATGGCCTTACCCAGGTGATGTCGCGGACATAGAAACCACCTTTACCAGCGCCGTTGTTGGTGATGATCACCCCAAGTACAGACATAAACAAAACAAAGAACCACAAAAGAAAGATGGTGCTGTAGAAGGCCTTGCACGAGATCTTGAGACCTCTGACAAGGGTGAGATAGGTGTGTACTGCGATAAACGCCACAAAGGCGGTAGATGCCAGGTCACCCGTAGAGATGAACCATCCCTGGGCCCAGCACGCGGCCGAGTCGTCGGTAATCTTATCCTCCACCAACCAGACAACGTCGAGAAAGAAGGCGCAGGCCTGGATGGCATCGGCGAAGAGCACGTTGAGTAGGAGAATGAGGAATTGATTCGGGACTCTCGATCCCTTCGTCTGTCCGTTTGCGTTATACTGAGCCTCGAGTTCGTGAGGTAGACCGGCGATGACTGGAACCTGTGTGGTGATGACAGACAGTTGTTGTTCCTTCTTTGGGCTCGTCCTTCGATACCAACATACGAGTCTGCCAATTAGGTATACCAGGAGTGTGAAGGAAGTGACGAGAGAGAAAAAAGAGAGCGTAACAACGGCTTTGAGCCCATGTCGAAGAACCGTCGGGAGCGGCGAGAGAGTGTGTGTTCGTGTATACATGATTGCGGATAGTTACCGGTTATTGGGATGATTATGAGATTATCATGACCGTCGTGCCTGCCGACTTTGCCCGTTGAACCCAGGTTGTTCCTCCGCCAAAAGACAAGTCAAAAAGAAAGGCTACGGTGGTCTATGAGCCATCGTGGAATGTTCACTCTTGGCTTGGCTTCTTTACTTGTACAAGCGAGCGGTAAACGCTAGTAGACCAATGTCCGGCATGAGATGTCCGACGTCCGCGGGGTAACGCCTCCCTGGGGAGCCTTGAAGCCCAACGGGCGCAACGTTCTTAGCTTGCGGGATGGCGTCCGGGAAGGCCAGGAGAACCATGCCTCTCTTCATCTGTCAAGATGCCATATGGCAGCTCACCCCATGCCTGGTTTGGCTAAGCCTCTGCCGATGAGTGAGAACTCTAAAATCAGTCGACGAGTGAGGTTGCTCATGCCAAGGTGAAGTTGACGAAGAGACCCTGCCAAGCTAAGGAACAGTGTAGAGAACGCCGCGCTTGGGGTCTAAAACGGCCAGGGATCCGGATCGTTCGGCGTTCGGCCGAGCAGCCTAATTCGTCCATTTATCCCCCTCTCCCGAACTCATACCACCTATCCACAGTAACCACAGACATCGGCATTGTGCCTGCAGGCCAGCCCACCCATGCCTTCGTGCCGTGGGGGGCAAGGGATAGAAGAGCCTAAGAGATCGCCTCATGAAAGCTTCTCGGCGATGACAGGCCAAAAGAGAAGCTCATAAGGGGCGGCTCGGCGTCGCTTTCGGAATTTCGGTTGATCTTAACAGCCTGTCGATTTCGAAGCTATCTCTCACAAACCCTTGAGATCTTCATCGCAGCATACGGAACGTGGGTTGCGGATGGCACTTAGACGAAAAAACTAACGTCGCCCCATGTCCACGGAGAAATTGGTCGTACGGCTATGCGAAATATGCAGCCCACGCAAGCGAACAGACAACGCACTGGAAGCAGCAGGCACGTGAGGAATAAAGTTTAATGAGTGGAGTTGAGCGTCGCTCCAAACTCTAATAGAAGCACCAAGTGGTCCCCGATGTGGAAAAGGAGACAACGAGGATTCTTTCAGGAATTACAGGCTGGCTCGGTAGCATTCAACCGAGATTTGAAACAAGATAAAAAACATGCTCAGAAGAACTTGAAGCTCTTAGTCACCTCTTACGGCTGGGTGGGAGGGCGGTGAGTAGCCTCGACGGACTTTTTTTGAAGCCGATTTTCCTTTGGCTTGGTTGATATGGACCAAAGTGGCACCCTTCTATGGGCGGCGCATACAAGTGCCATAAGCGCACCCGGCGGCTCTTCTAGAAAGAAGAGGGAGGAAACTTCTTCGCAAGGATTGTCACGTCATTTCCAAGAACGTACATAGATGATTGTGTAACCTTTGCTGGAGTCATGTCCTCGTACCCACGATGGGGAAATTTCCACAATGTGCCATAACGTCGGTAACGTACTTCCTTTCAAGCGCTCGGCTAACCGTGTCGTTGCGAGTCAGAAGGTATCATTGGAGGCGGCTGGGCGAGATCTTGTTTCTCGCGCGACGAAGTGCGAGCTCGTGGCGAACAGGGTTAATCGTTATGGCGATGATGAGTTCATAGTCATATCTTTTGCTTTCTCTCGTAAAGACGGCTTGTCCACTACTTTTCTCAGAGTGCACCGTAAGTATTTTCCTTATTCAGAAATTCAAAAAAAAAACCTTCTTAATTGCTGTGATCGCACAGACAATTGTCAACTACGGAGTACCTAGCCTATCTTGCTGGAACTTGTCGTTGGGGAGACAACTGACGCAACCTGCCTCTCGTCAGACTGGAAAGTGCAGGAGACGCCCGTAATTTCATGTCAATTCATAAGCCTTGACCCTTCAGTGATCTAATTGTTTTCGCTTGTAATGATGGAACCCGCGGGCGCCCGCGCGCTTACGGCACCACTGTCTCGCTTGTTGTTCTATTGACATGGAAGTCTCGGGGGGTTTCACGATATTGGCGTCCGTCGGCGACACCGCTCAGCCCCGTAATGGACATGAAAATGAACCCGATTTAAGATTCGGAGCAATCTTTCTCTCTTTATCGGACTCGGCCGGTTGAGTTATGTAAGGTACGAATACGGCATGGAAACCACAACGTCGGCGATCTCAATCCAGCAAGGCCCTGCCAGATGCCACACCGGGCGCTGTTCAATTCGTAGGGCACTGGGCAACTGGCTGGATATCCGGGATAAATCTTGCATAGAACCCGCAATCGAGCAGAAATTTACCCAGCACTCCCTCTAACACGGGGATTTGCGGAGTACGTCAATACGCACACGCAAGACTTCAAAAGCTGTTCCATTTATACTATAATAAAGTTCTCACTTGGTGGCTTGCGGTCCGCCCAAAACAACAGGGGTGCACTGACCAGCCACCTCCTAAGTGGAGAAGTATTGTGACTATTGTCTCTCTTGTCTCGTAAATCTGAATGCAGATGTAAGCCTTGAAAGGTAAATCGAAACGCAGACACATATCCGAGCGGGAGCCCGCGATTGCGCGGCAATTCAGAGGTTGGCAGGTCAAGATGCGGACTTATCAATAGCCGATGAAGTGGAAGACTATGGCGGAAAGCTAGATAGATCGTTGCGGTCTTTTGACGCGCTTGTTCTCGTTTTCGCTGTCACAATTGTCCAGGAGAAAAATGACATGGCGAAGCAATATTTGCCGCCAAGGCTATCAGTCAGCTTTGCGGACCCAAGACTGATAGGAATTTAGTCCTGACAGCAGCCGCAGCACCCAGACTGTCGGGCAAAATGCATCTGCAAAACATCATGAACGCCGCGTGACCCTCCAAGTCGAGGGTTCTGGCCAGATTGTATCCACCTAATCGACAAACGAGGAGTATTGGGATGACGATCTCGGACGCTGTGGATAGCAATGGTCTAAAAGCCGTTTTCGAAGGCCCACGCACAGCGGGCGTCGCGCGTGAATGCTTGAAGATGAACTCTCACCCCTGATATATCGATAGCCTGTTCACACCTAGCGGGTGATCGTCGCCTTCAATTCAAGATGGATCCACGGCGGTTTCAATACCGTGAAAACTTTGTGCCAAGAACTCGATGAACACCCAACGCCACTCTCGTCCATGATACCTGATTGCATATCACAACTCGTATGCATCCTCAGTACTTGCAAATGCATTGGTGCCCGACTGCAACAATGAAGGGCTAAGGTACAATGAAACCGATATCATCATGCGATCTTCGTCAATTGCGATAGTTGCTACAGATTCGTATCTGATTGATAAGCTGAGCTTTAACTAGCACGACATTGTTCCGCAGCTGCCGTTACGTGGGCAGACTCTCTATTTCTGGCGCGGTCGAGGCTGACAAGCAAAGAGGGCAGAATTCAACTTGTGGCGTGTTGGAGAAGAACAGGGGCACTTCCGAAACCTACTACTTCTCTTGATTTCCTATTCCGATGCAGCTCATCGGGATCGAGGTAACAACGAAAGCGACCATTGCCTATCAATCTTAATTGAGATGATTTCTACCATAATCATTCCTATCTCAAGGGCATATGCAACGTATCCGCGCCTCTTTTCACATTGTTACCAGAGCCTCACTCGCAGATGAAATAAAAAGGCCCGTTTCCTGTGGCTCATGGAGAGACTGACGGAGACGTGGTTCATCAGTTGTGTCATGTGAGCACACAAGTGACATGATAGAAAGGGGTTCATGTAAGGTCAAACATAACGGTAGACCAGACAGTACAGTGATGTCAATTAGGATCAGATGAGGATGCACAGACGAGTGTCAGAGTATTCCAATACAGCTCCCTTCTCAACCGTTGGGGTTGAGTGCACTCGTGACCTCTACCCATGAGCATTCCTCAGTTTTTATCACACGCCTGGTCTAACTCGAATCCCGAGCCTCGAGGGAACGGTTAAGACACGAGTTTCATGAAATCATCGTTACTATCCCCTGCGCACTGGCGCAACAAAAATAGATATCCCATCAATTGCTAGGCCGGCACCGTACGTAGTATCTTAAGGTATGTTGACTAATTGGATATTGGCCCGGCCCTATTTCCCTCATATATGCCTATGACTAGTTTCGAAACAAAGTGGAAGTCGGGAAAAGACTAAGAGATATATACTGACGCCTTTCAGCAGTTGATGCAATATGCTATCTGAACACCACGCAGTCACAGCATGTTGACACAAAGACACATAAGTGGAACACAATGACATCCTAGCTAGAAAGTTTTCGGACGTATCCATTATTTTCGATTGAAGCTCGCATATGAGTGACATACTTGTGCAGTTCATCGGAGCCTCCTCCGAACCGGTGGGCGTCTTTCCCCGCGATTCGTGTCCGGTGATCACCTTCGGATACAACGCGCACATCACAGGCAAACCCTCGCGATTATCCTCGGGAGAAGTGATTGATATTTTGGGGCTGACTTAATTTTATGAAGCTTCAGCCCTGCGCTGAAGATCTCACTCCATCGAACGAGTCCCGTGAGCAGATTGCTCGACTTCATGACGCGAGCTAGAACTCGGAGCCGTGCGAGACAGCGAAGTGAAATGTCAAAATGAAATTAGCGAGCAGTGATCGGCGGGACGGAGAATAAGTCGCTATGGTATCCGCAAATTCCCGGTCAATGCTGAGGTGGTCTTTTACCAAGTCAATCAGTGTTAAGAAGAGAGCCTGAACCACAAGGCCATGTGCCAAAATGGACACCTTGAGCTTCTGTCGTCTGACGAGGTCGCAATATGCTATCGAGAGTTTTGAGCGAATCCGAGATTGTCACAAGCGATTGTAACCGATATACTGAAAGAATTTCGACGGCCTGGATTTAAATATGCGATCCGCGTTCAGAGCTGATACTCACCAAAAGATTTCCTTTTTCAGGCTGCATTTCATCATGACTTTGCAGCCCGTTGACTTGATCATCTGTTAGAATTAACCACATCAATCTCCTGTCATGGAATCATAATACCATACGCTACAGCTTGTGAATTGATGGCTTGATACGTCACATTGCTTCGATGATCCATGCTATTCCGTCACACTCGAGACATCGTGATATTTGGTTACCAGAATATTTGATGGTCTGGATGAGTCAGCTTGGGTAGACGTGATGATGACTCAGATTGCCGAAGCCGGGCAAGCGGTTAATCCGGGTGACATCCCCCACCCCCGGCACTTGACGTCGCCCTATCAGAAGGCTCAACGATGAAAGCTGTTTAAGCTGACTCTGCATTTGATCCCTCAACATCGAAGCACCCAAGAGCTTGACCGCCTAGCGACTACCCCACTACCCCTCCTAAGTCGGAGTCAGTGGCAGAAATTCAATTGATTTGCGACATGACGCATCCAGACCAAAAACTTTACTCTGTGATTTTTCAATTTTACGGCTCGGTGACCTGATTGAGTCACTGCAAACAATCTTTCCCGCTTTCAATTGACGCTTTCCAAGTCACTCACAGGTTGCCTTTCTCACACCGCGTTGAAGAACTCGAACCCCTCGAAACGCCATCATGGTCGACCTCCCCGACCCCACCATCGACCTCGACTGGAGCGGCTACGTCGGCGCAATCCACGAGATATTCCACAAAAATGCCCAGTCGCATCCCGATAGGCCCTGCGTGACCGAGACCAAGAGTCAGACGTAAGAAATTCTGAAGTCGAGCGCTACTATACGTTGCCCTACGCTTGCTGACCTTTGGACAAGGACGCCAACGAGGACATTCACATACCGCCAAATCAGCGAGGCGTCCAACACGATTGCCAACCACTTGCACGATGCTGGAATTACCAACGGAGACGTTGTCATGATCTTTGCACACCGCTCGGTTGAGCTGGTCTGCGCGTTCATGGGAACTCTTGTATGGCTCGCCAGTCTCCCGCTCAAGCTGCGCGCGCTGACTCACGTTGATAGGCTGCTGGAGCCACAGTAACAGTGCTTGATCCTCTCTACCCTCCTCAGAGACAACAGAGTAAGTACTCTGTCCAATGTCACAGGTGGTCTTGCTGACTTGATTAGTTTATCTGGAGGTTTCCCAACCCAAGGCTCTGATTTCCATTGGCAAGGCCGTAGACGAGAATGGGTACGTATCTGCCATTCCGCTGGCCGCCACGCAGCGTGTCTCGCTTTCATTTTGCATTTTACTGAACTATCATGTCTAGTCCTCTTGCTCCCGTAGTACAGAAATACATCGACGAGGAACTGTCCCTCAAGACACAGCTCCCGAATCTCCGCCTCAGTGACGCCGGCGTGCTGTCTAGTGGCGAGCAAGATACCGAAGATCTGTTCGCCAGCGTAAGAGCCAAGGCCTCGTCTCTTCCCGACGTCATCGTCGGTCCCGACTCCAACCCCACCCTTAGTTATACGTCTGGTAGCGAAGGAAAGCCCAAGGCTGTGCGGGGACGTCATTACGGCTTGACAAGATACTTCCCCTGGATGGCAGAGCGTTTCAACCTCTCATCTGAAAGCGTCTTCGCCTGCCTGTCTGGTATCGCTCACGACCCCATTCAGCGAGGTAATAATGGACCCTGGCCCCAGATCTTGACACTCATGCTGACTTGGTGGCTCAGATATCATGACGCCTCTGTTCCTCGGCGCTCAGCTTCTCATTCCTGCCAAGGAAGATATCCAGCACGAGAAGTTGAGCGAGTGGATGAACGCCTGGTCACCGACTGTAACTCATCTGACCCCTGCCATGGGACAGATTCTGGTTGGTGGAGCCACCGCCAAGTTCCCTTCCCTGAAGCACGTCTTCTTCGTTGGCGATATCCTCACCACTCGCGACTGCAAGGTGCTTCGCAAGCTGGGTCCCTCATGCGCCATCGTTAACATGTACGGCACGACCGAGACCAGCAGAGCGGTGTCTTACTTCGAGATTCCCTCCGCCGAGGCCGACCCGACAGCTCTCGACTCGCTTGGCGATGTTGTTCCCGCAGGTTGGGGAATGCACAATGTTCAAGTCCTTGTTGTTTCTCGGGATGACCACAACAAGATGTGCGGCGTCGGCGAGGTCGGCGAGCTGTACATCAGAGCGGCCGGTTTGGCTGAGGGTTACCTCGGCGAGCCAGAGAAGAACAAGGAGAAGTTTATCGAGAACTGGTTCGTTGACAACGCCAAGTGGGTGGAAGCCGACAAGGCTAGCGCAAAGGGCGAGCCGTGGCGTCAATACTACAAGGGTCCCCGCGACAGATTGTACCGCACAGGAGACCTTGGTCAGTACCTCCCTTCGGGAGCTGTGCAGGTGTCTGGCCGCATCGATTCGCAAGTCAAGATCCGTGGGTTCCGTATCGAGCTGAACGAGATCGATGCGAACTTGGGAGGAAGCCCGCTCATCAGAGACTGCAAGACTCTTGTTCGCAGAGATCGTAACGAGGAGCCGAATCTTGTCAGCTACATTGTGCCTGAGATCGCGGAGTGGAAGCGCTGGTTGGAGGCTCAGAACCAGGAGGATGTCGAAGACGAGGGCGTTGAGATGGGATCGAGCGTGGTATACCTCAAGAGATTCCGCAGGATTCAGGCCGAGGTGCGAGACCACCTCAAGGCTCGTCTGCCAGTCTATGCGGTGCCCTCCACGTACATTGTGTTGCAAAAGCTCCCTCTCAACCCCAACGGCAAGGTGGATACCCCGGCTCTGCCTTTCCCCGATACGACCGAGATGATGGAGGATGCCTCAGAAGAGGACCTCAAGAGCTGGGAGGCCCTGTCTGAGACGGAAAAGACCGTTGCTGCGCAGTGGGCAACCCTCATCAAGGGCCTGAACGAGAAGACGATCAAGTAAGTGGATTGAACGATCGACTACTTTGTAGAGGAAATCGAGGCTAACCCATTTCCAGATCCGAGTCAGACTTCTTTGACTGCGGTGGGCACAGTCTTCTGGCTCAGCAGCTCCTCCTCAACATCCGCAAGAACTTGGGCGTCGACATCACTATTGGTGTCCTTTATGCCAACCCCACCCTTAGCGCGTTGAGCACCCAGATTGACCGCCTCAAAAGCGGTCAGGCACCCACTGTGGACAAGGCCGCCGAAGCCGTGTACGCCAAGTCGCTTGACGAGCTCGTTAAAACTCTTGATGCCAAGTACCAGAGCGCCGACCCTGCGGCCTTGAGCCCATCGGCTGGCGCGACGTTCTTCCTCACTGGTGCCACTGGTTTCTTGGGCGCGTACCTGGTCCAGGATATCCTTAGCAGACAAAATACCAAGCTCCTCGTGCACATCCGCGGTGTGAAGGATACTTCTGCCGCGAAGGAGCGCCTTACTAGATCACTCAAGGGCTACGCATTGTGGCAGGATTCATGGGCCGACAGGATCGACTGTGTCCTTGGTGACCTGTCCAAGCCCCGTCTCGGCTTGGACGATGCCAGCTGGAAGCAAGTCGCCGATACTGCGGACGTGATTGTTCACAACGCGGCGTACGTGCACTGGATTGCGCGCTACGAGCAGATGATGCGCAGCAACGTCCTGTCTACCATTGACGCGATGAAACTTTGCAACGAAGGCAAGCCCAAGATCTTGTCCTTTGTGTCATCGACCTCGACGCTAGACACTGAGCACTACGTCAACCTTTCTGACAAGGAGACGGCAACTGGTCGCGGAGCGGTTCTTGAGGAGGATGACTTGCAGGGTAGCCGCACTGGTCTCGGTACTGGTTACGGCCAGACCAAATGGGTATGTTGATCTAACGTGATTGAATCGGCTAAATGAAGCTAACAATTCTGCAGGTCTCTGAGCAGCTGGTTCGCGAAGCTGGTAAGCGCGGCCTTCGCGGCGCTGTCATCCGCCCAGGATACATCCTCGGTAGCCGCCATGGCGGTGTTTCCAACACAGATGATTTCCTCATCAGATTGTGCAAGGGTTGCGTCCAGCTCAAGGCCCGCCCTCGCATCGTCAACTCAGTCAATGCTGTGCCTGTAGACCACGTCGCCCGTGTCGTCATCGCTGCTGGACTCAACCCCCTTCCTGGCGTCAACGTCGTCCACGTGACGGCGCACCCGCGCCTCCGCATGAACGAGTTCCTCTCGACGCTGAGCTACTACGGTTACGACGTCCCCGAGGTCGACTATGAGGAGTGGAAGACGCAGCTCGAGGAGTTTGTGTCGGCTGGTGCCGTCGAGAAGGATCAGGAGCAGAGCGCGCTGATGCCGCTGTTCCATATGGCTACGTCTGACCTGCCCTCGACGACGCGCGCACCCGAGCTCGACGACAGAAATGCCGTTGCTGTGCTCAAGGCTGATGCTGAGCGCTGGACTGGGGTTGATGACAGTGCGGGTGAGGGTATTACCCGCGAGGACATTGGACGGTATCTGCGGTTCTTGGCCGAGACCAAGTTCATGCCGCTGCCAACGGGCCGTGGACGAGAGCTGCCGCCGATTCCGGCGGGAGTTGCAGAGGCTCAGGCACAGTTTGGCGTTGGCGGTCGCGGCGGTGCGGCATAAGGGAGATTTGTAGAAGGATGCAGCTTAATTAAAATAGAGCAAAAGAAGTTCAGGGTCTCAACTGCCCATGATAGGATCTAGAACTGTGCTGGTCTTCCTGTCATCCCAACATCGCACTGTCGAGATACATAGTTCTGGGGTGCGACCAAGGTTGCAAGACAACATGCAGTTGAGAATCAAGCGAACCTACCGGATATCCGAGAAAAACCAGACCCTGTTGTTCTTTGCGTCAAATCAGATCTGTCGTGTGCTCCCTTCTCACCACCTCAAGCATGGACTTGGCGTAGAGATTGGCAGGGGATAGGGCAGTATGCTGGGAGCTGCTTACAGAATCCAATGTCTGCTGCATCGCGGGCATCTGTAATCTATCTGAAGGGTACTTGCAGTATATTGTCCGGCCTCCAACTCACTGTACCTATCTGAGTACTTCTGATGGATGGACTGTGTATGTAGAGCCACCTTCAAAGGATCTCATCGTGCGTAATAGCGTCGTTCCAGTTGTGGGCTTTGGGGCTTCGGGGCTTTGGGACAGAATCCAATTAGCGTAACGGCGGAGTCAAAGCGCCAATCAGCAGTGGGCGCGCAGATGTCTCGGTGCCATCCGAAGACCCCTAATGCTTGCTTCCCGCCCGTTGTGGGCATCTGGAGAAGGGAACATTTAAAGTTGGGTTTCTGTTCCTTTCTCGGTGAAGCTCGAGAGGTACCTGTTGCATCGTCTTCATGTAGAAAAGTCACCTCATTCACGTGCAGTATCATCATCCTGCCTGGAGCGCCATGTACACCGGATGACATGTAATGCTCTAGCTTCGCCGAGAGAGGTCGGGCTAAGGAGTCATGTGCCGAAAATCCGAGGTTCTGGCCGAGCTGACATTTTAGCGGGGCATCATGACGAATGACGAGTGAGTCTCAGCAGAGAAAGTGATACCCATTGCCCTGCTTTTGAGAGACACCGGTTTCCTATCTGTAACTAAGATACCACAGACATCGCGTTATCAAGTACTGATCTTTATAGAGACAACAAACACTCTTCGACTTTGACTTTACGCCACTGTATGTTGTGTTCCAAGAATGCAGAAGGCCGCGGATTAAATCGGCGCTTACGGCGGGCAGCGGACGATCCCGAATTGCGTGATTGGCCACGGTGCTGGTGGGGCGCCTTCTTTATCAGATGATCTAATCTGATCGGTCACCTCAGGAAGGCACCAAAAGGTAAGGTAGGTAGGTGCAGCAGGTACCTAAAACCTGGAAGGAAGGAAGGAAGGAGGGACTTGTGTGTTGTCACTTTTCCCGTCCACTTCAGGCTCCGGTCCTCGCCTGCCGTGCTGCCCACCCGCGACTGCCACGCCTGCATAGCCTGCTGACAGAGCATTCGTTGGTCCCCTGATCATGAGGCCCGGGGTGTCAGAATGCCAGCTGTGGGTGGTTGACTGAAATCCTTCCTCTTTGCCTGCACATCTTTTCACATCATGGCCGCCGGGTAGGGTTGCTGCCAAACCTCGCTTCTGCATCATTTCTCATGGACCTCTGCGGCCGAGTTGCCCATCCAGCTGCGAATTTCTGAACTCGCAAAGGTACGAAGACCCCAAGTAACCACCATCTTTCTCAACTTACCAATGTACTACCTACGCAAATAACCCCTGCTGACTGGATACCCCCCTGAGCAGGCGCTCGATACGGATACACAGCCGAGAAGAATCTTTCCTCCTATTCCCGCCGATGACTGCGCATGCTACGGTCGCGAGCTTCCCTCCATCGTTGAACTCGGTGTGCTGCACGGGGACGTTTTGTTAACGAGACATCACGAAAAGAGGTTGCCCAGACCTCTAGTCCCTTACCTCATCTCCGCCCGCGGCGCGCGTTCCAGAAGTACCGAGACATAAGGTTTTCGCCAAAAAAAAAAACGAACAACGCAAGGGAGAACAAGAAGCGGCAGAGATATGTCGAAACTATGGTCGAAGCGCCGCCCTTCCCCGGGCGGCGAGACCTCGCCGCTCCTCGAGTCCGACCTCACCGTCGGAGCACCGAGCCAAGCCGACGCAACCCTCCACTCTCATGATGCGCCCTCAGGCGGCGTCGCACACTCCGATACCGTCGCGAACCAGATCAGCAGTGCCGAGCGCGTCTGGCTTTTTGTCGGGATCTTCCTGGTCGGCTACGCCTATGGCCTCGACAGCCAGGTGCGGGGAACATACCAGCCCTACGCCACGTCAAGCCTCAACCTACACTCATCCCACTCAACCATCAACGTGCTGCGGAGTGTTATCGCCGTGGCATCGCAGCCCACTGCGGCCAAGGTCGCCGATATTTACGGCCGCTTCGAAACCATCGCCGCCTCCATCCTCTTCTATGTTGTCGGTACCGCACTCGAGGCTAGTGCGTCTTCGGTGGAAGTCTTCTGCCTCGGTGCCGTTCTGTACCAGATTGGCTGGACATGCATCGTCCTCCTTCTAGAGGTCCTCGTGGCCGACTTCTCGTCGATGCGATCTCGAGTCTTCTTCAGTTATATCCCGGCTATCCCCTTCGTATTCAACACCTGGATCAGCGGCAACGTCACCTCGGCCGTCTTGCGAGTCACATCATGGCGTTGGGGCATTGGAATGTGGGCCATCATCCTGCCCATCTGTTCCATCCCGCTCCTCACTAGCCTCTACACCTTTGGCCAGCGCTCGCGAAAGGCTGATCGTCATGCCGAATCGAAGAAGGCCACCATTGACCTCTTCCATCAACTCGATGCCGTCGGCCTTGCTATTCTTATTGCCGCCTTCTCCTTCACCTTGGCACCTCTGACTCTGGCGGGAGGAACTGTGAGCCACTGGAAGAGCCCGGGAATCATCGTTCCGCTCGCCTTTGGGCTGCTTTGCATTCCGGCCTTCATCTTCTGGGAGCGCCGCTACGCCCAAGTTCCACTCATCCCCTTCCGCCTCCTCAAAGATCGTGGTGTCTGGTCAGCCTTGGCCGTCCGCAGTCTTCTCAACTTTGCTTGGTCGACGCAGGGGAACTATTTATACACTGTTCTTGTCGTGGCCTTCGACTTTCCTATCGAGACGGCCACTCGCATCTTGTCATTCTTCTCCTTCTTTGGCGTTTTTAGCGGTGTCTTGATGGGCGTCGTCATTTATAGGATTCGAAGACTTAAGGGCATCATCATAACTGGCGCTTGCATTTTCACGGCCTCCTTTGGTCTTCTCATATTATACCCCGGGGGAGCTTCTTCTGCTTCACAGTTCGGTCTTATTGCCGGCCAAATCATTATGGGTCTGGCAGGTGGTCTGTTTGCGTACCCAACACAGGCCTCCATCCAAGCGTCGTCCGATCGGGAGCACGTTGCCGTCGTTACGAGTCTCTACCTCGCCATCTTCAACGTCGGAAGCGCTCTCGGGAACTGTCTGTCGGGAGCCATGTGGACGCAACTTCTCTACCCCTCTCTCGAGTCTAACCTCGAGTTCCAGCCGAACAAAACCCTGGCGGCGTTGGTCTACAACTCGCCATTCTCCACCATCGAAGATTACCCGGTCGGCGGAGAGATCAGAGACGCTATCATTGACAGCTATCGTGGTGTGCAAAGGCTTCTGTGCATTGCCGGACTGTGCATCTGCGTGCCTATGGTTGGCTTTGCTTTTGCGTTGAGAAACCCGAAGCTGTCGGAGGAGCGGGTCCAGCCAGAGGCTTCGGCCGAGTCGGACTGATCCATATGACTACAAGAAAGACGACATAGTATCTGTCGTTACTGACTTCCTTTTGAGACTGATCCCGTTTATCGAATGGGTTACGATACATACCTCAGGTATCAGGATTGTTACTGCACAAAGAAATCGATAGAGCAAGCGTTGGATTTCTCCATTAGATCACTTTTCGGTTTACCACTTCATATTACAGCGTAGCCTGCCAACGCCAAAGATTGGCACAATTATTATCTTTATTCATCATTGCTGCATCAAAATTTTGGCTCAATATTATCACTCATATCCGCTGCTACGTAGTAGCCAATCCCCTGATCACCCCTTGTAGTGTCCCACCTACATCCCTACTTAGACGGAGCCTCGAAAAGCCCGGATTATCGAGACACAATCTCTCGGGAGTGGCATATCCATGTTGCTTTCAATTAATCTTCTTCATAGAGTTTTGATGGTTTTCTCGGCAGTCAGGGGGTTCTACATAGCGTCCGCGGGACGCGTGGGGTATTTCTCAAGTCCGTCCTCACTCTACCCACGTCCTTCTATATCGAGCGAACTACAAAAGACAGCTTCATCGGCTACCTAATCTACAACGGGCTCTGCCTCTCTTCGTATTGTCTCAGTCACTCGTTCCGAATATGAGGTTCTTACTCATCTTGCTTTACCTCGCGGTGGCCTTTGCGCTGGCCATCGTTGAGCAAACTACTATTACTAACGAGGTCCCGAGGATCGTTCTGGTAGAACTGACCGAACGCGCGCAACAGGTAAGATATCAAATGTAAAATGCATTAACTTCCTTGTCTCACGAGACTCACCTGCCCTTCCAGAATCCAGACATTGTTTTCAACATCATAGAACAACGCTTATTCGAGCACGAATGCATATTTACACGCCGTCACACATTTAGCTCCTCACTCTTTCGCGGCTTCTCGTTCGGCTTGTCATGCGAGGGAGATAGGGAAATAGTCCGGAGCAAAATACTGCCTATGATTCAATCCCTAGACGTTGTAAAGAAGGCTTCTTTCGCCTCACGGAGTCATCAAACGCCTCAACGCGGACAGCAACGTCCCCAACAACAACATGGAGCTCTCCCAGGAGAAACATCACACATAGTCAAACGACAGGCCACTACAACCGCCAACAGCGGGTTGTACGAATCACCCACCCTCCCAACACACAACGACACAGGTGTATCCCGCCTCCACGCCGAAGGCACCCTCGGGAACGGCATAAACATCGCAGTAATCGACACGGGCTTCGATCTTGCATCCCCTGGGCTCTCTCAGACACGAGTTACATATAACTACAACTACGTCGAGGATGCCT